GGCTGCCTCGCCCAGCCTGCCACTGGTGCATTCAACCCGAGCCATCCACATTTGGTGTGGAACTGCCAGCAGACGGAAACGTTGAGAAGAGGCATCCCAAGGCCAGTAAATCGTGCGCAGGAAAGATTGTTTGCGGCCCCGTTGGCACCGTACCCAGCTGCGCCGACGTCGCTGGATTACAACTTTGTAAGTGCACTTTCCCAGCATCCGGGGAAGATGTTATCGTCGCAACTGATGGGAGCTCAGACAAGGGAGTCGGTGCCTGCGCCATCGCTACCACACAGAACGTTTTTGTGATGGGTGACGGTCGTGAAGATCAGACACCTTTCAAATACGAAATGTTTGCAATCCTTGCCCTCCTCCGTGCCTTGATGCAAATCTTGATTCCTAAGACCTGCAAAATTTTCATCCTTTCTGATTGTCAAGCGGCCCTGCTTGCAATCCAGCACCCTTGGAACTGTAGCCTGCCCATGTGGGCTCAAGAAGCAGCTACGCTGTGCCAGCAAATACGGAGCACCGGCTGCATGTTGACCTTTCAGTGGGTCCCATCGCATGGGAAACAGCCTGCGTGGCTTCCAAGTCCACCGTTAGAGGCGATGCAGTGCCGTTTTCTGAACGAAAAAGCGGACCATGCTGCCAACCAGTGCAGACAGAGAAGAGTGAGTGGGTCGCTTCGCCAGCTGTGGTATGATCAACGTGAGATCGCAGCCAAGTGCGAGTCAGACGTGATTCACATTGCCGCTGCATCCGCCAAGTTGCTCCAACAGCACGTTGCTATGAGTGACCACAGGAGAGCTTCTGACTCTACTCCTTCTTGACTCTGCGGAGACCTTCCCACCCGTGTGCACTGCATGACCTCAGCGCAGTGGGTTCTCTGCTAGCTTCTAGTGGAGACCACGCTGCATTGAGTCGTTGCAACCCTTGCCTCCTGTGTGTACTGCTGGGCCTCATCGCTGTGGGATTTCTGCTAGCTTCTAGCGGAGACCTCATTGCTTTGAGTCTGCTGCAGTGGCGTAGTGCACTAGTTTGTTTTAGTTGTAAATTTCGTACTTCGTTGCAGGAATGCTTGGCATCTTGCTTTTGTAGTTAGTGATGTGGCCTGACCATGTGTCAGCTTGGGTTTCGCTGGTACAGTGGCTTCCCTTGCTAGACTATGGCCTCCCACTTTTTCACTCTTAGTGCAACGTGACAGAGAGGTGTAGTGGACTTGCAATAGCATGCCACTGCGAGGTCGACTGGAAGCCCTGAAAACAGGCACCACCGGGTGCGCCTTAGGGAACTGTTGGAAGGGTTATGGGAGGGATGGGAGGGCGGGATCTCAGTCTAGTGCCGCTCCTTGGAGCTCAGGGAAAAACCTCAGCTTTGATTTCAGTTTTGATTTCAGTTTTGAGAAAATTTCAGATTGTATTCAGCACATGTCAGTCCAATCTCAGTCATGTCTCAGTTTGAAGAGTTTGAGAATCCTTGCAATCATGTCAGTTTTCAGCTCAGATTTTAATTTTCCCACCCACCACTCCCTATTGTGGGGGGTCAGTTTGGGAAACTAACCCTGGTCTCACGGGTGCTGATTGCGCAACCACACGAGTTTCGCATGCGGCATCTAGAGGCAGCTACCACCATCCAGAGAAAATGAAGGTTGTGCGCTTGCATCTGTACATGTCCACTCTTCTGCGCTTTTGATTGAATGATGCAACTTTTACACTTTAGAGTTTGGATGATGAATAATATATTTGATTGAGTCCCATTTGAAATGAGTTAGTGAAAGTACTTTGCATCGAGAACAAAGCTATTGAGTTTTGACTGATCCCAAAACCCATTGAACCATAACCCTGAAAACAGTTGCCACGGAGTTTATCCGGCCCATTTGACACATTGTTTTCGTGTGTCCCACATTGTTTATGCACTTCAGGGTTTATGCCCGCGTGCTGAAATGTCCCTCCAGCGAGGTGTAGGGCCAGGTTTTCTTCTTGGGGTTGCGCTCGTGTCTGCTTGCTGAATTGGATTGTGTTTGAACAGTTTATATGGCTTCACAACAGCAGGAACGAACAAAACCAAATTCGTCCGCTCGCTTTTGTGCATGCCTATTTGCAATTTCTGCTGTTGTGGCAACGAGCATCTAGAAGGCACATTGCTGCAACCCTGTTCATTCGCCAGGGATACTGGCTTATCCCTTGCGCGGCTCCACTCCATGCTGGTCAATTTGGCCTGGTTGGATTTGTCATGCGTTGCTTTCGCAAAAATGTGACTAGTTTTTTGTTTTTATGAAATAACCGCGTTTGATTCTGCTGCTGTTTTTGTTGGTGCAGCGCTCCGTGTCGGGATGAGAACGCATCGCTTGGTTGCAATGGACGAGATCGAGTTGGGGGTGTTTTTTCTGAACAGCCTGCAACAAGGGCACGTCGACTTTTGCCCCGTGATCTCATTCTCGCACCCACATAGTTGACAGCGGAAAGTGGCATATCCACAGGATGGGCCGCGTGGTACCTGGTTTTTGCAGATGCAATATTGATGAAGCATGAGGCACCCTGCAAGCCTGTGGTCATCACCACGCACTGCATCAGCCGGTTGCAATGGGCCTGTGTCCAAACAGGTGGGACAAGTACTCGAATTACTGAAGGTTTGGTCGCCATCCCTCCCCAGACCGCACGCTCAAACGATTTGTGCTGCTTACGAAGGATTCGTCGTTGATTCTCCAATCTACAAGCATCTGCTGTTGCCAAGCGCAGCTATTTCAAGGCACCAAGCCAGATTAGAAATCAATCTTGGCTGAAGAGCTCGTCGCCATGGGTAGCAGCTTGAGTTGCCATTGTCTCAGGCTGCAAGGACGAGAGCTGGTTTCTGTACCACTGACCCCCAATTTGTATGGGGGCGAGCGGCCGGTGGTGGGTCCAAACTGCATCTTTGTAAGGAGATCCGTGGACTGTTCAAAAGTCTTAGCGGTTTGGATTTTGGCCATTTTTGTGAGCGCAACCTGCTAGCCAAACCAGCCAAGCTGTCAGCTTCTCGCGGAAAAATCTCAGCATTCCGGTGCCGAGGCTTTGAGGGTTTTGGCCCTCCCGCGAAGCCGAAAGGAAAATTGGTCTTCAAGTACTTTGACATGGCAGGCCTTTAGCGTGTCGTGTCTCATTACGGAAATGCAGTGCTAACCCCCAGAGACTTCAGACTTTGGCCATGCCTCATCAAGGCTTAGATTGGATTTGGCCGCAGTCTAAGCCACAGACTGCGTAAGGCAGCACGCAACTGACAGGTCGAGGGGAAGTCATCCGTTTGGCACTGACTCTGGGACAGCAGGGCCCCTATTCAGCTCTAACTAGCGATGATAGACGCTGGTTGTGATGTATCAATTTCTCTAGCAATTTTGGATTGCTATTCGAGCCCCAGAATTTTGGTATTTCAAGGCATACCTTTGCAATGCCTGAGGTATAGCTTTCAGGACCTACGGCTCAAAGGCCAACCGTATGCTGAGCTGGTGGCTGGGGGAACTTCTAATCTTCTTGACAAGTCTAGGAGGTATCCTTCGTCTAGCATGGTTTGGTCTGAGTGCCTTCTAAAGGCTTTCCTAACTGCACGCAGTTTTGGTGCAGCACTTTTGGCTTCAGATCTATAATGCTTTGAGCGGTCACATGATTCAGCGGACTATGGACGGGTCGGCTGTACCATCAGAGGTTCGTAACTGTGATGTAGAATGAGGGCCGTGGTACATGTCATCAAAGTTTGATGGCTACGAGGCTGGCCTGGTTGCGCATGAGGGTTTCAGGCCACAACTTGTTCAGGAGCGTTTGAGAGGCAAAGTCTTATGAATGGATTCTAGCTAGATGCGGTCCGCTTGTCAATTTTCGAAGCTGCCGTTCAGGAGATGAGTGGGAGGCAAAAGAGAAGAAGGCCAGTTTCGTCAAAGCTTCGAATTCCCCAAGCGTTGCCCGAAGCAGTAAAGCTCCACATCATGGGCACAGTCTAGCCCCAAATTCACTGTACCCAACTCGTCGGTACTGCTTTCCAGCAGGGGCTGAGTGTCATGCAAGATTTGTGTTCAAGGCATGTCAAAAAAATGGTGGAGAGACCTTGAGTCTAGCTATTGGTTGAATTAGTACTGGTTAGACCCAACTTGCCAGCTTCATGATCTGCAAGCTTTTGCTTTGGTTCCTTGATTTTTTCATCTGGTGTATTGAGGTGTTGCAGACTGTTGCTGTTAGAGAAGGAGAGAGCTAATGTCTTGGCATCCCGAAGCTACACCCACAGTATGGATGCAGACATTTTGCGGTTGCCCAGCCTTGGCTGGAGTTGCATGTGCCGTGTGAGGATTAAGATGTCACATGACACATGATGTCCCGTACGCCGTTCTTAAAATCTTGCCACCGCTGCCATTCAGGCATGACGCGCTTGACAGTGCTCGGTGTAAAACATCATGTTCGCTATTCTTGAACGCAAGGTGAGTCGAATTTGTGCAGCGAACATCCCTGATGCACTTTGCGCTTTCTCTGACTAGTGCTTGAAGAGGCTCCACAGGTCTCTACACTGTCTTCCTGAGACGCTGCATGTTTTCTGTGTTTGTTTCACGTGCGGCTTCTCTAAACTGTCAAATCTCACTTTTGAACAGATTCAGTTTGCAGCGCGGACATCCTGCGCAACCCGAGCGCGCATGCAGGAATACCATCTCACAGTATAGGGTGTGACTCTTGCTGGCTGTTTTTTGATCCGGCTGATGGCTCAGGCAACGTGAGTGCTCAACCGGGTGTTTTCAGGCTGGCAGTTTCATTCTGGGTTCCTCTCGCGTGAGGCTGCGCCGTACCACCAACTTCCAGTAATGAGCTCAGATGTGCTGGGCTGGCATGGGAGGGCTGTAGAACCCCTCACATGGGCAAGGCTGATCTCCAAGCTGCCTTGGTCTGTGTCTGATGAGTTCACTTTGCCAAGGATGAAGAAACCATTGCAGGGCCTGAATTTTGGACTGTAGCGCAGGCTGGTGAATTGTCATTTTGACGAACCCCTACGGACTGCTTGCGTGCTTGCGCTGGTCAGGCTCTAGAGGAGCGCTTGAGCTCGTCAGTAGATTTAGGGGATGCTCCTCAGGGTTGTTTCGGCTGAACTTGAATTACTTGAACTGAAACGCGTAGACGGCTTACAATTCAGTTTTTTTTCTCAGGTGCTCCTTATCGATGGGAAGCCGCTGGCGCAGACCAAGGCCATCTTGAGGCGCAGCCAGGTTGAAGGGTGAAGTGAAGTTGGTCATGGAATGTACTGGATGGAGGAAAAGCAGCCTTGGTGTCTGAACGTATTTGACGGAGGGTTGGAAAAAAGACCACCGAGGGCTGAGGGCTTCGGACATTGTCTGAAGTGCGTTGTGGGCGTGGCCATTGCCCCGTTTGTGGTGATGAGTGCAAGTCATTGGGAACACTTGCCAAACAGGTTTGTATGTAGACTTCAAAACATGGATCTGCCCAACCTTTCAGCTTTCTTATGGGAAATGCCAGATGGAAATCCACACAGCCTATAGCTGCCAGGAACTGACACAGACACACACACACGCACACACAAGTCCGGACATGAAATGATCGATGCTCAGAAAGCAAAATACAGAAATCTGCGAATTCAGGTATCTTGGCAAAGTCACCGCCTTCAATGGTCCGGAGCCAGGGAGAACACAGGTTACCTGACGACTTGCTGCGAGAAAAACCATGTTATCCTCATTCCACCTGCTTTTGGTTGAACCTTTCCCTCCCAGATTTTCTGGTTCGACTTTGAAGCAAAACTCTGTTGACCTTTGTGGATGCTGTAGCAGAGCCATTGCATTTCAGCATGTGGCTGGGCATCACTGAACAGGGTTTGTGGCTAGTTTTGGGCAACTCTCAACCACATGAGATGAAAGCTTCCTTGCTAATCAGGCTGGGTAGCAGAAATAGGGTCCGGGCACGTCTTTCGCATGTTGATGAATGTTTGAGTCCCATGGCGCGTTCATAATTTTGATTCTTGAAAAATGCGCTGCGTTGGGAGAACACCTTGAAACCCCAGGATGCGCTGGCTGTGGAAAGACCTCAATACCAAGTTGTAACTAACTATCCATGATGTCCAAGCACATTCAGAATATTTGCCGAGATCGGAGGCTTCTGCATCCAATTCTTCAAATCGAAAATGCATTCATGCTAATTTCAGAGATGGCCCTCTCCGCTGCAGCCTGCTGCTAGAAACAAAAAGATACTCCCTTCAAAACCTCCCGGAAACATCTCCAAAACAGAGTGAACCTCCAAACTTCCCAATGGACCACAAGCAGCAGGTGACAGAAAAGAGGATCCCATACATCAGCCTGCAGCCTTTTGTCGGCAGTGGAAGAGATTCTCCCAGAACTTTGTATTGCCAACGGCACGGGGTCTCCAACTTAACTGGAACCAACGCCCAGACGTTAGACAGCAAGTGTTCGCACCTCCCCATTTGAGCCAGCCTACAGTTGCATGTGCATCTTTTCATGTGCCGAGGCCGGTATCTCTATCCGAGCGATCCGCTCGTGGCGGCAAAGGCCTGCAAGGATGGGCTTTGTCAACAATTTTTTGGATCTAGCCGAATCTAGCCATAATGCAGGGTTCATGACGGGAGCAGTCGGGTCGGCCATTTTTGGTACAGGATTCGTGACACAGCTTGTTCAACCTGTACAAGGAAAGAGGGCGAACGAGCATTGGTCAGGACCGACCATTTTTTTGCAGTGCAGTCAGCGTTGAACCTCTCTACAGAGATCTTAATTAAAGAAACACGTATCGGATATGTGTTTTACTTTGTGGGTCTTGGGTTTCTGTTCGTTTTTTGGATCGAAATTGGGGTGCTCGTGTCTTTCCTTTTCCATTCCAGAAGATGCTGAGCCAGCAAGCAGAGGACCATCACTGATGTGAGCCAGGTAGACGAGATCATGGATGCGTTCGATGATCTTTGGATTCTTCTCGCTCCGACCTATAGGCCAGAGTTCCACATGTTGAGTTTGAGATGGCTGTCAGAAGCTTGTTGCTCTGTACCATTTGAATGTGCGAGATTTCGCTCAAAATGTTTTGTGCTGGCCTCTGCTACTCTCTGTCGATTGGCGATAGAGTCTGAAAACGAGGTGTTGCCCAGGAGGGGTCAGAACTCCTGGAAATACGGTCTGACTGACCACAACTGCACAAAGAGGCGTCAATTGATCTTAGTTGCTAGCTCGCTGAGTTTCAGGTCTTCCAGCGAGGTTCTTCGCATCCCACATTTCATCAAAATTGCAGCAAAATGCCAAAATGCTTTGCTTCTGGATTGGTGAACTGGTCTTCATGTAGGAAGGGTAGTCAAGCACAAGCTCTTAGGCCTTGCCCGTTGAGAGTGACTCTCAGGCGACCCAAGTCTTGACTGTTACATGCATCGCAGATGTTCGATAAGTATCGCTTCTGTTAGAAACTCGGCAGGATCGCGAACCAGCAGCAGAAGGACCGGAAGATTTCATGCTGGCATTTGCAGATGTTCCAAGAATTATGGGAAGCGTTCAGGTATGTTTAGGTGCGAATTGCCAAGGGCATTCTTCATTCAAAGTCGGTGCAGCGTCCCATCCGGAATCGGAAAGAAGTGCTGCTTTCCGCAGACACGATTGTGTGATGGGGTTGGTCAGAGAGCCTCTAAAGAAAGAATCTCCAAAATGACCAGTCAATAGTGCAAGGGCTTTAAAGGCCCACTTCCCCCCACAAGGGTTCTATGCAGACCACTGTCAGTCGCAGAGGCTGCGGCCATTTCCGGGAATAGCTCCGAGAACACCTGAAACCTCAGCTGCCAGCCTGGTGAAAGTGGCCATTTGAGGTCCGGAGCTCCAGTGCCCAGCTGCGGAGTATCCTTGCAGCTGCCAAGCGTACAATATCTCTGCGCCCAACTGCAGAGTATGCAAGCAGTGCCCAACCAACCACAAAGTATCCCTATGGTGCCCTACCCCAGAGTATCCCAGCCGTGGTCCTCAGAGTATTTCCGCACTGCCCCAAAGTTTGTTGCCCAACCTGTCCTCAGCCAAAAGTATCCCAAGGGTTCGTTGCAGTGCTCCATCTTTCCCCGCACTGGGCAATACCTGGAGTGCTCAGCGATTGCATAGCTATGTAAAATCCAAGCCTCACAAAAGCCGCCACCACCCCAACAGTACATACAGTTGTTATGTCTGCAGGCTGGTACAATGTTTTGGAATTACATTGCTGATGCATGCTTCATATTGTTGCCGGAATTAGTTGATAATGCCGCGCAACCACGAAAAGGTAAGAGGGGATGTTCGAAGTAGATAACTAGCAATTGCGGTTTCCGGGAAGCCTCAATTGCAATGTGGCCGGCAGGAGGCGGCCCGGCAAAGGCTATTCGCCCCGGGCGGAGAAGCCGCCGCCATGTTTGGAAGCCCAACTGCTCACGCTTCCGTTTCCGTGGTTCTGTCTAGGTATATAAGTCTGATGCGCAGGCGCGGTTACAAACATGTTGGGGGCCCTACAAAAGGCGCTTCCCAATCTGGCCAGGCTTGTTTGTGTTCAGATGGATTTGCAGAAGGTGGCCACTAAAGAAGCTCGTGACTGACGCGCATGAGAACTAGTGGATGCTTGCAAATCAGTTTCATTAATGTCCTATGTGATTTCCGTTCAGAAACGAATATTAACATGATTCAACATGTAAATAATATGGGTATCATCCAGCTTTGAATTTAAATTGTGGCAGATTTCGACGACATTGTTTTCTGCTTTATGGGGCCCGGTACTTGCGTTCTGGGTGAGGTGCATGGAGTGGTGGGAGTAGTGGAAACCCGAGCCGTCCATCATAAACAGCTTGCTGTATGGTCTTGCGCAGGTTTTTGATTTGATGTTTGTCAGGCCAAGCAACCCTATCAACAGAAATATTCAGATCATGTTGCCGCCCAAGATGAGGAGAAACGAGGCAGTCCCAGGCGGGTGTCATGAATCCATTTTGAAATTCAAAGATTCAGCATAAGATTTTGAAACATTGAGCCTGCAGATGCTTGCAAAACCAGGCTGGAGATTTTCGAGTGCACCCTCGCCGGGAGCACCAATGGATATGTCGTGCCGCAGGAAGCCTGCGACATGTTTTGCGCCTATGTTTTGTATGGATTCACCTCATAAGAAGGCTTTGTCTCATGAGTTGTGAGCAAGAAAATTTTGTTTACAAGGCATGAACTCAGAGTGATTCTCATAACAGGTTGTTCGGCCACTATTGCTATGCCGAGGGATAACGTCCTTCAGCGTTGAACCTGCAGGCGGGTCTTTCTGTGGCCGACCTGATGTACTTTTGCCCGGGCCCAGCTTACGTCAAAGCTCGTTACCGATCCCACATACATGGCTTTATTGCCCTGTGAAATCTGTGTCGCTCACACATAAAGTGTCGGTTGACAAGCCTCTTTGTGCCCAGCTTTCCTCTGTGTCGTGCGGAGTGGCTTCATGGTGCGGGCGCCCAGCTTGTGCATGTGTCTGCAGCTGAGGAATTAACAAAAGGGTATCGATTGAAACTTTGGCCTGAAGCTCGGGTCAACGAATGGTTGGAGCACTTGCAGGTTGTCTGCGGTATGGCTTGTGAGGTTTAGGATGTGTATGTGACTTGCAGACCGTCAGCTTGTGCATAATTTGGTGATCTCTTCTCGGCGCTGACTCCTGAAAGAGTCTCGGTCAGAAAAAGCATTCGAAACCTGGACTGAACGAGGAAGGCTTGGGCCCCGAGCTGCTCAAGAGCTATCCTAGCATCATGAAGCACAAGGCCGGGTGCTGATTTGGTTTTCGGGTCAACCGGGACAGTGCCAGGCTGCACAGGTTTCCATTTGAATCTGCAGTCCAGATAGCCGTTCTTTAGACCTCATCCACACTGCATTTGTGATGAAATTTGCTAAGCTTGCCTGCGTACTCGTACCAATGCTGCTTTCATGATTGGTTGAGCATTTTCCCTGAGTCTGTCAGCTTGAGGGTTCGCCTTATAACGGCATCTTTGGACCAGGAGGTAAGAGTCTTCAAAAGTGCAAGTTGAGGCGTACTGCATGCACCAAAGCTTTTCTAATCTTTTCAACGACTTGGCCGGAGGGTGCCTGGAGTCTACTTCCTGCTATCGTCAAGATTTTGAAGACTCGCAAGGTTCTTGATTCTCCTTGAAATCCCACATCCGAAAGAAGCAAATTCTGTGACGTGTGTCTTGGTCTCCAGGAGCTGATAGCGGCCATTCCCGAGGTCGAAAAGTATTACAAGAGCAAGAGCCAGGAGAGAGTGTTTTTTCCAATCTTGAATGCCTGTTCCTACAGGTTTTGCGGACGTGTGTGGGATTTGCAGAGCTGAGTCTTGCAGCCTTGGAGATGGTGACGAAATCAAGGTTCGTAAGAGGCTTTCTTTCCTTCAACTATCAAAGGACCTGAAACACTGTCAGTTTTTGACTCAGATTGGAGATTCCCAGTCTTTAAGGCCGCACAGAGGTGATTGATCTGGTCAGGAGGGCGCCCTCTTCTATGACGCCAGGGCCTTTTTGCAGGGATAGGCGTTTGTTTTGAAGAAGCCAAACATCTCCATCTTCTTCGACAGACACCAGCTTTTTTTATGAGAACTTATCGCGTCTTTGAGTTTCTGCATGTGTCCAGAGCAGATTTGAGAGAGCGAGACAAGTCCTCATCTACATCCCTAAGATAGCGTTTGAACCTGGCAAGCCAGGTGCCTACACAGCCAGTTTATATAGGCTAGTGCTTGGATCGCAATTGTTGCCAGGTCTTCCTCCGAGGCAAGTGAGAACTGCCACGGGAGGATTGTGTTTCGCAACGGTTGGCTTGCAATGTAGGATGCATAGTTCCAGTCTGGGAATTTTACAGGCTCCCAGACACGCAAGATCCAAAATCAAAGTCTTGTAAATGTATGCCTGTCGAATCAAACCTGACGAGCTTCAGTGTAGGCCTAAGGTGAGATCTGTTTGCTAATGCTTTCACTGTTTCACTCCATCATGCAGCACGCAGAGAGGTCGCGACAGCAGTTGCTGCTTCTGTGGAAGACTATCACATAAGATTTGAGGCATGTTGCTGGCGGCCTCTTGTCGCAGAATTGCATTCGTGCTTCGTGTCGATTAAACAGCAACAGCGTGTGACTTTCCGGCAACTGAAGATGCAAATTTTAGGAGGCCTTAAGCATCCCCAAAGAGCAGACTTGTAGCTGACACTGCATCTGGGTTCTGAGTGGACGGCAAGGCTGCGATGTCTAGTGAGTCTAGCAGGCCCACTGGACAGTCCCAAGTTTGGAGTACTATCAGGCGATTCTGCTGCCCCTGTGGAAACCGGAAAGGAACTCTCTGAGTCAAGCCCATTACGAATACATCTTGTCACAAAGACCTCGTGCATTGAGGGTGATTATCAATCTAGTTGACCCGAGACTTTTCAATGTGAACCGTGTGCCTATGGCATTGCACATTTGTTGCAGCGGCTCAAAGATAGTCTTAGAGGCTGCGCCAGATGATTTCTTGCCAACTTGATCTGCTCACAGCCCATGTTCTTTACTAATTCCGCTCACTGTTCTTATATAACTTTGATAAAACTCAGGCTGAACTTCTGCTTGCGTATTGCGAGAGCCGTACACAAAACTTTGAAAAGGTAGGAAGCAACCTACCCCGAAGCCTTGGATGAATACCAGACAAAAGAATTGTCGGCCGAGCGTGCTTTGTTCCTGAGCAGCGCCATGGGGGACCAGAAACCTCAGGAGAAGGAAGAAGGCACAGATGCTTTGCCCTAAAGCCATAGAGTGGTTTCTGGAGGCCAACAAGAGACGCCCTGCAAATCCCAGCAAAGTGCAACTGCATGCCCTCTTCTGAACGCTCCGAGATGGACCAGTGACATCCTCAATTTTGCACACTGCGTGAGGGACGGTCGGACTGTCAGCTGCTAGCGTGTTGAATTAAGTAGGCCGGAACCATCTTGATATACAAGCACGGATTCAGGCTGACGTAGCCGCATGAATTATGGAAGCTGTTGGGGGCCTCCTTACTTACCCCGAGATTTACTCAAAGTCTGAGGGCAAAGCCTAGTTATTGGAGGTGATGAGGCAGAGCGGCCGAAGGCCATCCTCAACTCTCGGAAGAGGCTGCTCTGGGAGACTGCGCAGGTTCAGTTTTGAATCAAAGGAAGCCGTCAACCACAACCGGGACCAATGATGCCTACAAACAAAACCCAGCCTAGAGTTGCTTTTGAGTTGAATTGTGAGGGGCCGCAGTTCCCAGGCTTCATTTAATGTGCTCAGGTATTGCAAAGGTACCGGGCTGTTTTCGGCTGTTGTGTTGGGTAAGGATCGCACTGGAGCAAAGTCAAGATGGTTGCAGCAGAGTTGCCTGCAACAAGGCCCCGCGCTTCTGCCAGCCATGTCTCGTGGGATGAGGCGGATTCACTAGCCTGTTGTAGGAACCAGCGGAATGTCGATTACAAAGTATGAAGTATGCTGCTGTTAAGAGACTGCCAGGCACCTGACACGTTTTGCTGAGAGACTACACTACACAGGTCCCTACGAACGAAAGGCTTCTTCATTCTGTGAACCGCAGGATGCAGTGACTTTGGGTTCCATAGCTATACACTCCATGCAGATGCCTCGTACGTCATGGTTACTGCCAGCTATGGAACCACAGACACCCATTGTCAAACTATTCCCGGGACCCGAGAATTGAGTATCCAATGTCATGGCATGCAACGCTGGTAATGATTCATGATTGAGACATTTCCTGAATCTTTGGAGATTTGCTTCTGCAGGCCAACCTTGCGGAGCATGACAAGGAGAGGGGCACCAGGCGGCACATGCAGCACCAAGGGCAACTTCTGAGAACTGGGAGTCTGCATGCCAACCACATCACAGCGTCACTTCCATCAAGCCAAAGCGCAGTTTCAGGAGCAAACGTAGTTTCTAGCCAGGAGCCTGTGGGCCCGGCTTTCTGAAATCTTGTAGCGCAGAATTCTGGGATGTGCTGAACCTTCATAGAGGGATTGCAGTTCTTCGTTGACCAGCCACCCGCATGCAGGCAGAAGATCGAGGAGCCCCCCACTCCGTTTGTGCGCAGTCCGGCATCAATCTCCGAAGACGAGGCGCTTAGAAGAACCGTTTTTGAATGCTTTTGCGTTTTTTTGGCGCTCTGAGTGGATTCATGGGCGATGGGTTGCAGTTCACTCCGCACAGCTCCAATTTCTAGGCTGAAGCCCAGGCTGCCCCAATCCCAGAGCCCTTCCCTTCTTGGCTTGTGAGGCGGAGGCTGTCCCACCAGCCCCGGAGGCCATACCTTTCGTGGTGAGCGGGCAGGGGAGGTGAACTTGACATCAGAATCTTCAGTCTGACCTGCTCTGCGGCTCAGCAAAAGCTCCCATCCCTGGGCTCACTCTCGTGTGCCAATGCAACTTGCGAACCTCTTCGGATCTCTTCGGCATCGCAGCTTTGCAGCTTTGCAACTTTGCAGGCAGAATCTAATCCTCTCTCGCGCGACGCCGAGGAGTCGGATGCCTGCAGCTGGTGAGAGTTCAAGACCCTTCATTTCAGCGGAAGTTTCAAAATCTTGCTTCAGGGCTTGGGGGCTTGGGGATGATTCTTGCAGCCTTGGGTACGGAGTGATAGTGCAGGCTGGAATGCTGACCGAGATCAGAATCAGCAGCAAAGTTGCAAAGCGCAACCGAGACGAAGCAGACTTGCCAAGGGAACGCACAGCCTTGAGCAAAGAAATGCACCTGCAAAGTCTTGTTAGAGACGAAACCTTTCAGCACATGCACACCCAGAATGCTGCTGCAGGTGGGGTGCTAGTGTTTTTCTAAACTTATACTAGAGCCACATAAGCCCGTAGTGCGGAAGTCTGTAGGCCCTCCGCAAGCAGTAGCGCTTCTACACAAGGCTTTCGAAGAAGCTGAAGCTCCTCTCAGAGGAGCAGGCGTCGAAACCTGACCCCAACTCTGCTCTAGACAAAATTAGGATAGACTGGCCCCTCATGCCTCAATTGCAGAACACAAGCTGCCCTGTCAAAGTTTGCTGTCAGATGCTTTGTACCTGGAGCACCTTATGATTCCTGAAGTTGCGACATCTGTAGATGGCTGCACGGTGCACTGTCGGTCACCTGCCTGAATTCTTAGAGAGCTTCCTGCAGGCAGCAGCTGAGCCGGCTGCGAGGTTGGGTGCAAACGGAAAACATGTTCTGGTAAAAGATGTTCTGCTAGCATTCCGCTGGGCTCCGGGGCGAATGCTGCAAACCTCCAAGCCTGAGTCTGGCTGAAGTGCATTGGCTGTCGGCCCAGATCGCTTCAAACTTGACTCAGTTGAGATGGCACATGAGGAAGTTTCTTGACAGCGAAATCGACCCGAAAGCTTGAGCCTCTTTGTATGTCCAGCGGAAGAGGCTGGCGTCCGCACCAGCGAGTCCAGCGAAGTCCGTCAGGTCGGTGGCATTCTCGGAAGGAGGCAGGGCTGATGGGCTGGGGAGGTTCAGGGCATTGCAGGGCAAACGAGCTGTGGAACCTTGCTCAAGCTGTCAGAGGTGTCGTGTGCAACATGGCTCTTTGCCCAGGTGGTCAAGGCATTTTTACCTAGCAGTCCCCACGTAAGCGGCTTTGTGTTGTGAAGCCCGTGCTCTCAAAATTATGCCACGCCACACTATGCTGTCCAAAAAACGTTGGGCTTGCAACAGGGCTTGGGTGGCCCTCCTGCAAGAGAGGGTGTGTAGCAGAAGGAACAGTCATGCACAGCCACGACAACCCCTCTATGCCCGGCGACGAAGGGGTTTGTATGAGAAGTCTTCATATCAAAGGGGGCGGAAACTAAGGGGGTTTCGGCCCACAATCTAAGTAACAGACCAATGCAACATCTTGTATGTACTGTCCCCAGTAACTCGAGTGCTCTGCAATCCTACGTTCCTGGACCTCATCAAGGGACTTCGGGCTCAAGATTGTTCAAGGTACTCCGAAGCCGTCCTCGGCAGCCTTCAAGGCCGCACGTTACGGCTCCCAAAAATCTAGGATAGCATTGTGTTGTGATATGGCAGGAAAACTTGCCGCTCTTGAGATGCCTCAAATGCTGTAGACGCGAGAATTTTTTAGCGTGGGGGTTGAGGGACAAGAAGGCGATTCACAGGTATTTAGGTCAAATTGCAATCAGAGCATTCAGTTTAGAAGTGGAAGAGCCCGAGAAGGTAGAGTTAGCAACCAGCAGGGTGCGTTTGCAACATCTTGCAACCAGAGTATGGGCACAAGACGAATTTAGGATCAGCTTTCAAAAGCAGGGTAATGTTCGGTACCGAAGAGTGTGTTGTATTATGTTGCAGTCGCTTGGGTTTGCACTTGCATCCGTGGAAGTGTAACGGTTTCAGTTTAAGCACTTGAGAGCACTGAATTTCAAGGGGTTTAGGTCAGGGTTCGTGGCTTGTGAAATTGTACTGCGTCAGATGGTGAGGGGCAAGCGTTTCAGGGCCAGGGTTCGTTGCATAGATTGCACCAGTGATTACTAGTTGCCAGTTCAGATTGTGAGGGGTAATGGTTTTAGTGTCAAGGTTCGGGGGCCTAGGGGATGGCACCAGTTTAGGTTTTAGGTTTTCGGGTTCGGGGTTTGCGGCGCATTTAACTGTGAATGTAGCACTTGCAATTTCCAAGATGATGCTCTACACTTCCAAAAGAGAACGTGTTTGATTGTCAAGCAAACCAAAGCACAGCAGTATAATCCTTCAACAAAAAGAGCTACGTTGGCATGTCATACACCATCTGAATGTGCTTGAGACAGGAACCCACGTCAAGATTTTACGTTCATATGTTCCAACTCGTACTATGAGCGAGGACACATGTTGTATTTTTTTTTATGTCTCGCAATACGAAACGCCAAATCGAATTTGGCGTTTCTGGCTATACGTTCCCCTTTCCGGTTGTAATCGAACCCGCTCGCTTTAGCCCTCGCACCTGTGTCTGAGGAAAAACATTGCTTGGATGATAGTATCAATGGTTACAAGGGATCCGAATACCATGCATGTTGACAACTTGATAACAAGAATAGCCATAAGCAGCAGAAACAATGAAGGCAACCGTAGTCATAGCACTGAGAACGGCATAAACAACTTCACTAATTTATGTGCAACAGCGACAAACCTTGCGACACCAACAGCAGCATTAGAACACTGCCAAAAGCAGCAGTAGCAGCTGCTTGCAATAGCAGTAGCACCATGAATGGTGACAATTTCAGAATAATGGTAATGTCAATACATGTGCAGGCAGTGTTAATATCGGTGATGCCAGCCAGAATAATCGGGATAATGAGAATACTGGAACCGAAGGCATACTTGTAAGGCTACCAATAGTAGGTGTAGTAAGTTAGTGAGACCGAACACCTTTGCAGTAATCGTATTAGTACCAACAACGGTATAGGATATAATGAAAGTAGCGACAGTCATGAAATAAGTTTCTACAATCATACGGGTAGTGGCAATGATAACAGTGAAAGCTGTGAGAGTACTGATAAGACTGGCAAGAGCGGTGATAGCGCACGAAAAACAGAGCAGTTACCGAGATGTTTGTAGCAATAGTACCGATGATCGTGAATATGACATTTACAGATTTGGCAACAATGGCATGCAGAGGCCAACAAAGCGTAACAAAATCAGGAAGCTAGAAGTAGAGCAGGAAACATAAAGTAAGGAGCAGGAAGCAACAAGCAGAAAGCTACAGGCAGCAAGAACAAAATCCAAAGAGCACACACCCAGAAGGCAAGGCAGAAAGCAGAAAACAGTGTCAATAGCAGGCAGCAGAAAGAAGAAGAATGCGCCAACGACATGCATGCCAAATTTCTTATACGTGTTTCATGCAGTCTCGGGTTGGATGTGCAACTTTGCCTTTGCTGTATCGTGGTGTAGACTCATCGTGGTCAGCTGAAATGGTGGTGTGCTGGAGGGTCCGGGAAGCCCTGACCCAGCCTCCCAGTCTTTGCTAGAGCGGCCAGTGATTGTGAAGTCAAAACATTGTCTTCGGTAGTTAGGTTGCGCGCGCCATATTCTGTGCATAATAGTATAAGGAATCTTCCTTGAAGGCCAGACGAGCCGCTCATTACAACGAGTTCCGCGTGCTACAGGCCTGCTACGGCTGCTATGAACTTTTTGTCCTTCTTCATGGTGCTGCGGTCTCTTTCTGCAGGGCTTTGTATCTGCAGCCATTTACTTGGTTGCGCAGATTGTATGAGCTTGTTGCAGTTCGTCGTTGCGCCGTCAAGTTTGTTGTATTGAAGTTCGGCCTCCCTTTGCCTGCCATGTGACATTGCAAGAGATACTTGGTACATCCTGAGGTGTGAGGTGGCTTTCCATCAAGACCCCAGTGCCTTCTGCTTGTGGAGTTCAAATTTGGTGGAGAGCTGGTTTCATCCACTCTAGCTTGTTCCGCTGCAGAGAGTAGAAAATATGGAATTTGATCTAAGCGAATCTGATCTCCTGGAAGGATCGTGGCATGTCTCCGTATGAGGAACAGGTGTAATATTCTTGGCCAGAACATGGCCCAAGTGACTTCCAATGTGGTCGAAGGCCTTCCGTGCAGCCAAGCCTAATCATGGGGCTGCCTGGGACCCGGATCTCATGTGGAAGGCCGAGATGTGAGTTGTGGAAAGCAAGTAGGCGTGAAGTTTAGCACGAGCCCTTGTTGTGGAGCCCTTGTTGTGCGTTGCCTGGTTTCTCGTTCCGTTTTAGGCCTCCGATGATGAGTCGTCTGGATCAGGGAAGCGATAAGCTGCAAAAACAGTGCCAGCCTGAATTGCTCGCCGTGCAAAGCGAAGCCTGCGTTATTGACATGTGGATCTAGTCAAACTCCTGCATGACCTTTTGCACCAAAGCCCTTGGAAGTATGGTAGTATCGTATACCTAGAGTCACGCAGAATTTCGTCCATCAACAGTATCTTGAAGGAAGAGATTGGGTATTTTGACCGGTAAACTGCATGCAGACAGACTGCCGTGAGAGGAAGTTACAACAGAGCGCAGGAGTGATTTTGCGCATGGTCTGCATGAAAAGTGGAGAGGAAGTGTTTGAAGGCTTGGACTTCTGGTGTGCATAAATTACGCATATGAGGAGGGTATGTGGGCTCTCATTCTCTCTCAATGAAGGCCTCCCTTCATCAAGGTTCACTGCTTGCCGGCCTTTTGCAGCTTGGACGCAGGCATGTTCAATGTCATACTCATACATGATGTCTCGAATACCAAGCACATCCAAAAGCCCTAATACTCATTGCAGAGCCACCCTACTTAACCTTCCTTTTATCAGTTGCATGCCTATTATCCAATGAAACGGCCAGACAACAACCTCACCCAACGCTCCCACCCTTTTGTGCGACCACGAAGTGAGCTTCTACGAACTGGGATTTGCAAGCACGACCAGACTTCTCTTCTCCCACCGTTCCGGGACTTGAAAGCACCCCCGAATCAGACAACCAGCGATAACCAGCGGCTTCTTCGAGCGCCTGGAGCGCCATGGGTAATTCAGACAGCCATGCTGCCTTTGCCGATGGAGTCCGGCGCTGGCCTCGGTCCTCCGATGTCCACTCGGTCCTCCGTTTCCTTCTCGGGTCTGCATCCCTTGGCAGTCCGTGGCTGGGATGCCAAGTGACCTTCGCATACCCTACGAGAGCTGGATCATGGAATGTGTTAATGACCGAGGCGCCTTGTTGATGAGGAGATCAGCGAGACGGAGGATGGGCCGGAGCCCCACAAAATGGTCAAGATGGAGATCCTTCCAAAGGATGTCTCGTGAATCAGGCTTCGCACATTCTTTGCACTCCTCAGGGCCTTCTGCTGTGAATAGTGCTGGCGGATCAGCAAGGGCCACCGGTACTTTCCTAGGTCGCGCGATGACGTGAGAGTTCGGGTTGTGTTTAGCCGCTTAGCCTGCGCTGTCTCAGGTTCTGGTCCTCGCTGTTCACTGCGCCGTTGTCTGTTGAGGCCTCCTGATGCGGGTAGAGTTTGGGGATCTCCCAACTCTGACATGTCGGGCCCCAAGTCCCACAGCATGCCAGATTTGAAAGTCGAAGCATTATGCCCGAAGCATTCAGAGGCAATGGTTTGCGTGTTGATGAGGAGTGCCGCTTAATGATGCGGCCTTGCCTATGTTCCATGCATTTTCCAACTGGCTATGTGTGCAACTGTCTGC